CTCGCGAATCGGAGTTACAGAGCTCAAGTTATGACAATTTAATCAGGTATTTTGGGTCCGAAGCCCAATCCTTTTTGGAATGAGACCATTAATTAAACCTAAACCTATTATCTACCACACAAACCTTATCCTTCTTTTCCGTCCTTCTCCTTTTTCTTCTTCTTCTTCGCCCTTCTTCTTCTTCCTTCTTCTTCTTCTTCCTTCTTCTTCTTCTCCTTCGCCGATCGTCGCCGCCGTGAGCAAGCCGCCGATCGACCTCCGCCTCCTCGCCGCACGACTGCTGCCTTTCCTCGCCGCTGCCCCGTCGCTCGCCGCCAGGTCCAGCGCCGCCGACCACGGTTCCCAATCTTCGAGCCGCGGTCGTCGCCGTCCAATTGGAGCAGCCAGCCGCCGGCGTCGCCCTTCCCCAGCCGGTCGCCGCCGCTGTTTCCTTCCCCAGCCTCGCTGCCATCATCGCCGGCGGGTGCAGCGCCGCCACGCCAAACGGAGGACGTCGCCAAACGCCGGACGCCGCTGTTTCGCCCTCGCCGGAATCGAGAGCCGCCGTCGCCCGAGCTTCCAGCCGGTCGCCGAGCTTCCAGCCGCCGTCGCCCTTTGCACAGCGGCCACCCGCCGCCGTCGAGTGCAGCGCCGCCGTCGAGTGCAGCGCAGCTGTCGATTGCAGCGCCGCCAGTCGCTGCTCATCGCCGTCGAACTGCCGCTCCGCCACTGTCGCCGGCGTCCGTCACCGTCGCCGCATCCGGCCGCTGCCCCGAGTTGATATCACCGGCAGATTAACCCCCACGCCGGATTGATTGGTCGATTTCGTATTTTGACTCGATTTGACCCGTTCGGTTGATTTCGTTGATTTGTCTTCCGTTCGAGCTATCGATTCGATTTCGACGTAATCCAGGTCCGTACTATGAAGTTAATAGCATTCAGAATAGATTTAATGGTTTGGATCGTTATATCGTTATATGTGTTTATGCTATAATTTGGCTAAATTGGTTAATTGAATTAAATTGATTGTTTGAATTGAATTGTTGAGGATTGTGAATTGACTGAACAGGTTTGACTTTGACTTGGGTTAGGTCATGTTTGACCTAGTATTTTTACATGTGCCACGCACGGGGTCGAATGGAATTTTAGTTCATTCTGAAACTTTTTCAATATATTATTTTTTCAGAATAAAGAAAATATATTTCTCACGTTATTTTTAATACTATAGACAAAAAGGCCAGAGTATAATAAATAATATTTGAGGAATTGAATGTGTAGTCAACAAAGTTTGTTTTAATAGCAAATTTTCTAAAAGACTTTGAGGTATACATCATTTTTGGTATGGTTGCAAGTGTTTTCATTTTTTTATCTAGAACTAATATTTTTAATCTTGAATTTTTTTCACTCGTGAAACAACAACATAAAGTTACAACATAAAGTTGGCCATGAGTGAACAATGACTTGGTTAAAAATAGTACAACAAATGACAATGTTTGACATTGATTTTTGTTGATAGCGAATGATACCGAATTCATCAGTGGGTGACTTCATCGGTATTCGTGGATCATATGAAATCGAATTCATCTGAGGTATGTGAACTTTTTCTCAACTTGATTTCCCGAACCACAATAGCATAGATAATGTTCTTTCGCAGCTCTTCAATGATTAGTCTTGTAGCATTACACAAACCATATCTTTGGTCAATGTTTCTCAATAACATAATTGATACTCCCTTTTTAAAACTATTTTGTAATTTGGGATCCCCGAATATATGATTTCATTCAAAAACTTAATTGTTATCCAATCATCATCAACACCTACATCTGAATCTACCTTACATGAAGAACCAGAATTCATGGACATCATATCATCTTCAGGAGTGAGAGATAAGACAAATTCATTTACCATTTCTACAACTTAGAGTGTGGTGCCAATAACGCCCTATCATCAAAAAAAGAAAAATTTTGCAGTCTTCAGAAGATTTGGATAAGTAAAGTCTATAATGCTCTTGAGTCGATGATTTGCGTTAAAAGCAAGAATTCAGACAGAATTTCAACGTCAATTGTTCCATCAATCACTTGTCTAAACTTTCTATCTGCGACTTTGATTATTCAATCAGAAAACGTTTCTGTGCCCTTATATGTGCAAGAGAACGTAGTTGAATGCAATCTCATATTTTTTGTCAATGTATAAACTTTAGAGTATGGCTACAAATTTGAAAAATTGATGGTCTCACCTACACTTTCCTCTTTCGAAGTTCTAGGTAAAATAGGAAGAATTTCTCGAAAAACACATCCAAGTTCAACTATTTTCCCTCCGAATAGTTCATTTCTAGAGTCTTTCTTCATTCCATATCATTAGACTTGCTTGTTTTATTAGTTTTCCTTTCGGGCTCCCTTGCTTGATGGCATACATTGATCACTTTGTTAGCGCTATAGGGATTGAGAATCTCGAGTGTGACATCTTTCCTCCAGGAAAAAGCAATGCTACAATGTCACTGGATGTGAAACTCAAGATAACCTTATCATTTAACCTTAGATAAAGAGAAAGTGATTTTCATAGAAAAGTATTTCTAGTTCCACTATAACCATACATAAAAAAACATCTTTTGAGTGTCACTACTTCCACTATTTCGTTGTATATCTTCTACTAATCTTCATTCATCATAGATAAGTATCACATAAAATCAGATGATAACTTTTCTTTATCATAGTTCAGCTCTTCTATCAAAAAATTATTTTAAAGACATCCCATTGAATTCCCTTAAAAACAATATATTTGAATTATGCAACTTTTAAATCTTTATCAGACACAAACTTTTTTAGGTCTTCTCGAGAAATTATGAGCTCTGAAAAAAGAATTAGAAAAATGTGACTTTATTAGCACTACATAGTACTTAATTACATAGTTTTGTTTCAACATAATGCAATACATATGAATTAGAATGTTAAAACCCATTTTTCTATTGAAATGCCTTGATTATTTAATATTCTTCTTTGATCAAATAAAACTTCATTCACAAGAAGTTCTCATGATCTTTCCCAAACAATTTGGGGGCAACTCTTGGTATTTATCACTAATAATGTGACGAACAACTTTCGTAGGTGATTCCCAGATCCTTACTCAACGGCCTTTTTATACTTCCAATACATTTTTTATCATTGCCTAATAACCCCCAATGTACATTTTTTGCACATCCTCACTGCACTATTAATAGTATTCTCTAGTATAATTCTCCGATTTCTGTTGGCACATATTGTAGTCAGCCTACTGATAGTCTTTGATGCATCGGGAACCAATTCTTCTCCTTGTTATTATACACAAAATATCCTAGAAATTGTTGATGATTTTAGTGTCATCGGTTATTTTGTGTAATTGGATTAACTTAAGATCGGATATGAATTTTAATAGACGTTCTTAACGAGTTAGGTGGTACAGAGTGCAAGCTCTTTCAACGATATTAGAAATTCCATGGCGGGAGTCCGGGGGCGGCAGTCCCTGGCGAGGTCCAAGGGGCAGAGCCTGGCTGGGGTCAAAATTATATTTTTGGACATTATCTCTTTATGAAAATCCTTCAGATTTTCGTAATCGGAGTCTAAAATATGAAATTTACGAATGTGTAAAAAACGTACTTAAATTAGGCTCGACACAGTGAACTATTCGAATAAATGCACATTTATTCGAATAGTTCAGCACATGCCTATTTTTGGAGAACCCCAACTATTCGAATAAATGTCCATTTGTTCGAATAGTTCAACACAAGTCTGGTTTTTGGAAGACCTGAACTGTTCGAATAAGTTGCCACTTATTCGAATAAGTAGAATTGGATAACTGCCCAAAAGATAAGTTTTTCCCCATGGGTTGCATTTATTCAGCCAATGGTCATGTTCGATCGTCCAAATGCCGATATTATGGGCTTGCATGACATGTTTGAATGTAGAAAGAAGTCCATACTCGATCTATATACTAACATCTTATCCGATTGGAGTATTTTGGTATACTCCGAAATAGCTTTAATCTGAAAGCGTGATTTCACTCGATTGGTTAAGTCTATCAATTTTCGTCTCCCCACTTTCCAACAGAAATTCTGCACACGTCAATTTTCGTCTCGCATTGTACTCGTATTAGCAATCATCCAAGCTTTAAAAATCAAAGGTTTGTGTATATTTTGCTCAGCAACATCTTTAACTATTTGCTGGTCTTTAAAAGTAACAAATTCTGGCCTTAGGAGATGGAAATTCCACCACAATTCTGCTGGCCACCTGCGGTGTACATCAAAAGAGGTGAAGGGAACCCTCATATCTCTTCATATTCAACTTGTTTATGTTTCTTCGATTTTCTTTCAAATTCTTAAGTTTCAATTACTAACCCAATGTTTGGTTCAAGGAATTTGGAAGAAAAAGAAAAGAAAATGGTTTTCTCTCATTTTCCTCATCAAAATGGAAAGAATTTAGTTTTCCCCTACTTATCCATTTTGCCTTCTTATTTTCCTTTCTTTCTACTTTTTTTTCGTTTCCTCTCTAGCTAAACAAGAAAAACTGTTTTCAACTTCATTTTTTTTCTTTTTCTTTCAAATTTCTTGAACCAAACATAATGTAAATTCCAAATCATTTTCAAATCTTTTACACTATGTTGGGTTTAAGAAATTTGGAAGAACAGAAAAGAAACATATTTTTCTCATTTTTTTCACCAAAATAGAAGAAATTTAATTTCCTTCCTCTTATTCCTTCTTGCCTTCTACTTCCTCCGTCCCGTGAAACATTTCCCCTTTCTTTTTTTATCCGTCCCACAAAACACTTCTCATTTCTATTAAAAAGTCACTTTTACCCCTTACTTTTTCATACCCTAACTATTACGTCATACCTTTTTACTAATAATCTATCCATCAAATCATACTTTTACCCATCACATCAAAGGACATTTTTGGAAATTCAATACCAAAATACACTCCCTTAAATCCCTCCTAAAAAGCAAATGTTTCATGTTTCACGGGACGGAGGGAGTAATTTTCTTTTACTTTCACGAATGAAAATAAAAAAGGGTCCGTTGGGCACCAAATGTATATGTGATAATAGATTTGAATACTTGGTTCATATCATTTTACAGATCAGAATTGCTCGAATTAATACAAAATTTTACGCAAGATTTATGAGTCTTAGCAGGTCTCGTTGTATGTGTTGTCCATAAGGAAAAGAGGAGAACTAATAAAAATACGGTTGCATTTTTATTAGTTGGTCTTCTCTAACCAATCCTTTATATATATAAAGGAGACTCCGAGCTACAAGAACGTGACATTTGGCAGAGCTAAAGCGCGACATGTGGCAGAGCTAAAGCATGACACGTACAAGAGAATCCTTTATATATATAAAGGACCAGTTTTTTTTTGCAATTTTTTTCCAAAAGCATACCACCATGGGGTTTGACCCCAAGATCTCTTAGTCAATTAGATGAGTTCCTTACCATCCAAGCTAGAGTGATTTTTGTTACAATTTCACTTAACCTTTTATAATATTTCATAATTAAAAAAGGATTGTATAAACATTTCTTTTTAGTTATAAACAATATAATCCTTTAATATAATATTTGAGACTCCGTTTGCTAGAAAGTCGCCAAGTGTCAAGCTTATGTGGGCTATATTAAGGTGAGATCACAAGCCTTTATTGGTTGTTTATGTGGCAATTTTTATTAATGATGAATTGACCTTTCTTTTTATTTTAAAATAGAAAGTTAATAATGATTTCAAATTTTGGAAAAATTTTACTTAAAAAGATTTAGGACAAATAAAGAATTCATTACTTCGTGACATTAGTTGAGTTTTTATATTTTTTATTTTCAAAAAGCAATTCATTTATTTATTTGTTATATTGTGATAAAATTAATTAATTATGTTATAAAATCAAATTTGTGAAAGATAAATATAGTATTGTCCGAAATAAAATTATTAAAGGAAAGCAATTGTATAAAATATAATTTTATGATAAAACTTATTATGATGTA